CCTTGAGATTTAGATCGTAGAATCTCCGGCTGCTTCTTTTTGGTGCACAAGCCATCTCTATAATAACCCATACCACAACCTTAGCTGGGAACAGTAAGCCAAATGGTCTGTGGTTTTCTAAAAGCTACCCATTTTGTTCTTTCTGAAAATCTTTCAGAATCATGCCAGTCCTCCTCAGTCCCTCAAAGACCATCATGACTCTCCTTGCCCCGGATCTACGCTTCCCCTAAAACTCTCATCACAGTAACTGACACTACCATCCAAGCAACTGCTTAGCCCCAAACCCAGGAGCCATCTTTGATTCTTCTCTGTCCCTCCTCCTCACATTCAAATCATTAGCAAATTCTACCGGTTGTAATTCAGATATATCCTAAATCTGTCCACTTCTCTCTATCTCTATGGCCAATACCTTAGTCCAAACAACCTGACTTCCTCCAGCTGTTTTTGCTTCTGCCCTGCCTTCCCCACTCAGACCAACTTCATTCTTCACAGCAGCTGGAGTGGTAATTAAAATCTTTTAATCAGACCATTTCCCTTCTTTCCAAACTACATTAACGATCCAAACTTCCTAACCCCCTCAACTCTTTAGTCTTATCTAATACCACAGTCAGAAACACTCACCACAACCTGAGGGTCTTTTCTCCAGTCCCCTCTACTTAGAACACTCTTCTGAGACATCTGTATGGGCTCCTTCTCATCTTTCAAGTTTCAGCCTCCTCAAGGGCCTACCTTGATTACCCTAAAGTTGTTGCCTGCACCCTCCCCCACCATTGCATTCCTTCGTGTTGTTAGCATGCACTTGTTACAATCCAAAATTATCTTGTTTGCTTTACCTACCCCACCCCTTACTAAAATATAAATTTCATAAGCAAGGACCTTATCTATCTCGTGTACCACTGTATTTCTGTGCTTGGGACAGTGCTTAGTAAATATGTGTGAGTGAATAGAGGAATAAAGAGCTTATGAGTCCTCCCAGATTCTAGGATGAGCATTTTTTAGGTCAGAAGTTTGGAAACTGGGTCATTACCACTGGAAACTATAGAGCAGAAGCCAGGAACTCTTACAATCTGATTTCAGTTCTTCAGTTCTTTGAACAGTTTGCCAGAAATTGTATTTATTATCAAAGTTCCTCTGAATATCTATCCATCTACCTACCTACCTACCTACCTACCTACCTACCTATATCTCCTTTAAAAATGGAATGTTTGGGGCGCATGGCTGGCTCAGCCAGTAGAGCATACGCCTCTTGATCCCAGGGTCATGAGTTCAAGCCCCATGCTGGGCATGGAGCCTACTTAAAATAATTAAATAATTAAAATTTTTTAAAGATGCCATGTTTAAGGGTTTATCTGTCATCCTGGAGCAGTAAGAATTTCCATGTAGGTAGCTTTCTTTCTGTTTTTGTTTTTTTTCTTTTTAATTTGAAAGACAGCTGAGCATGGTACCTGATGTGGGGCTTGATCTCATGACCCTGAGCCAAAATCAAGAGTCAGCTGCCCAACCAACTGAGCCACCCAGGTGCCCCGGTGAAGGAAGTACTCCATAGACAAGTTTAATACGTGAGAGGAGACAGCCAGGTTACCACTGAGAGCTGTCTGGGTAATGTATTACAGAAAAGGGAGATGAGTGCCTTTTTCTCAAATAGCCTCCTACAGACTCTGAATCCAGGGAAGTACGGAACCACTCTTTTTCGTCCTACCTTTTACTGTCTGGTCCTATAATTTACCTAGGTATACCAAGGTTAGAGTCTGTGGTGTGCTTATCCGGATATTCCAGCATCATTTGCACATAAAAGTAAATTTCCCATGGGAAATGAGTGCCAACAAACCACCAGTGCAAGTGCTGGGGGTTGTTTCTATTTACAACAGTTTTGCAAGCCATCATCCTTACCCACCTTCACTGCTATCTCATTTCTCCTGGGCATGACTCCTATTGTTTCCCAGATGGCCAGCAAATACTCTAGAACCATCCTTTCCCTTTTTCCAACCCCCTTAGGGCAAAAAAGTTCATGAAAACCAAATACAAGAAAAGAAAAAGAGGAAAACGAAGATACTATGGTTCTTCCCAAAGACCTAGATACTTATAAGGCCTAGCTAATTAGCAATACATCTCTATCTAATTTGTTTTTCCCCCAAACTCTCTGGATTGGTTCAAGAAATTAAAGGACAGGGGTGCCAGGCTGGCTTAGTTGGTGGAGCATGCAACTCTTGATCTCGGCGTCCTGAGTCTGAGCCTCACGATGGGCGCAGAGACTACTTAATAAATAAATAAATAAATAAATAAATAAATAGGCCTCTTTGGGGGAAAAAAAAAAAAAGTTTAAGGACACCCATTCTGACAGACAATTTACTGCTGTATTCCCTTCAGTGAAAGAAGAAGAACCTTGTTTTATCGTTTTATCTGGGAAATTTGAGACTTTGAGGGGGACTGGAAAGGCAGGAAACTGATTCTGCTGCTATAACTAAATCATATAAGCACACCTCCTAAATCTTGTGCACACCACCTTGTCTTTGGTTTGGGGGCCACTAAAATAAGTTCGACTTCATCTCTTGCCTTAATTCAGACCTCTCTTCATACACACTGCAGGCTATGCTCCAACTACTTCCTAACACCAGACCCTGCAGACAGCCAGGCCTGGCAGGACTCTCACAAAGCACCCAGGGCAAGCCGGTCTTCCTACTACGTCTTTACCATTCACTATGGTTTGTATGGGTCTCTTCCCATAGAGGTGGCCCTACACAAAATTATCCAAGAGTTTAAAATATATGTAGGAGTACTTTACAGTTCCTCTTGCCTTTGCTACAGGGGCTTTAATTCTTTTTGCCCCCAACTCCTACTCCCACTCCCAGTGCTATCAAGCTATTCAGAAGTAATGAATTAATCCACATCAACTGAATCTGAAAGAATGTTAACAACTGACTAAGTACTTTATAGGGCTGTGTGTGAGTGTGGAACACTTGCAGGGCTCAGATTAATACTTGTAAAAGCCCAAACCCAATACAAAATAAGGAATAGCTACTAATATTCAGGTGTTGGTATGTTCATTTGTTAAACTTCCCAAAGGTAAATGCTTTTGGAAAAAGCCAGGCAGGGAAAGGTCAAGGCTCAAGCCTCAAGCTCAAAGAATGTGTGCTGAGGGGTGCCTGGGTGGCTCAACTGGTTAAGCATCAAACTCTTGGGTCTGGCTCAGGTCATGATCTCAGGGGTTGTGGAATCGAGCCCTGTGCAGTGGGATAGAGCCCCATGTCAGGCTCTGGCTCAGCGGGGAGTCTGCTTCAGATTCTCCTCTTCTGCCTCTCTCCTAGCGTGTTCTTGCTCTTTCTAAAATAAATATATAAAATCTTAAGAAAAAAAAGAATGTGTGCCTAATGTGGACTCCAGGCACTGATACCTGGATAGAAAAAGAGAGATCTGGGGGAAGAGGTGTTTTCCCACTGTTCTTCAAATCACAACACCTGAGTAACCATTTAAAACCTCCTAATCTAGCAAGTTAAGGCTGGACCTGACTCCCATCTCTGACTTGAGGAACCACTGTTCTAGGACAGTACTAAATAATCCGCATCTTGGCACTTGACTGTACAGTCTGCATGCCTGTTCTCAGACTGCTTCACTGTATAAAATTGTCTTTCCCCATTCAAGCAATAAACTCTTTGAGGGCAAAGTCGCTATTATCTGTCCCTCTCACAATACACCAAAAAACATAAATAATAAATATCTGGGAGACTGAATTGAGATTATGTACCTTATAGAAAAAATCTAATTAAACATACATAATAATCAAAAGACTTATCTTTCATAGAAATTATTTCAAAACCCAAATGGTTCCCAGTCACCACCACAAGCTGGTCCCTGATCCAGCTCCCTTTCCAGAGGGGATTGCACTCTAAATCGCTCTGCCCCGTCTTCTATCACTCTCTCTAAACCACCACCCCAGCGGCCCCCAACTGGAACCGTGCCTCACCTTTCCTCTTTTTTCTTTTTTGCATTCATGAGCGTATTAGAAAACATTACAAGCGGCCCCTGGAGAGGGCAGCTCTAGTATTTCTGAATCCCTACCCCCAACCCACCTCACGGGGTGCCACTCAGCCCATACCAAGACTCACAGGATAAATGTGGACCCTCCCAAAGCGTCAATTTTCCTCAAGAGTTGGAAAGGAAGACATTTTTACATTAATATTTACGCATTTAAAGGGACATGACCCAAACTCACAGTCTTTTTCAAAATAAACTCTAGAAAGTTCATGCTTTTCCGCTCCCCCCCTCCCCCCAGCCTCCCGGACACCGGGCGCTTCGTGACTCCGGGTGGAAGTTGGGGCAGCTCTGCCGCCAGGACCGGACACCATAGGGCTCCGTCCGATCCAAACAAGGGCTGTCCCAGTCCCCTCCCCAACCCAGTCGCCTCCTTCCCCTCCAAACCCCAGCTGGTCCGCACATCCTCCACGCCCACCCCTCCCCCAACCCCTCCCCCAGCTCCTTCCCGCAACCCTGACTCCTGCCCAAGCTCTCGCACCGCAGGCCCAGGCCTCTCTCAAAGGGGCCATCTTTTCTCCCGAGCGGTCCCCATCTCCCCCCCCAAACACTTCGCACCTCGACTCCCCCAACCGCCCGCACCAGAACCCCTTCCTCCTCTCCCTCACGACCCCCTCTTCACATCTCTCCCCTCTGGCCGGCTCCCACCTCCTCTCAATTCATCCCTCCCGCCCGACGCCCCGGCTCCCTCCCGGCCCTGCTTCCTCTAACCCCCTTCCCCCGCCCAAGAACCCCTCCCCCTCACCTCGTTTCCGTCTTCCAGCAGCAGCCACTCGGCGTTCATCCCTACGCGCCGCAAGCACCAGCTCCGGCCACCGGCGCGGTCTCCCGTGACCAACGAGCCAGGCTCCTCCATAGCCCACTCTGGCCCCGCTCGCGGTCAGCACAGCGCGAGACCCCCGCCCGGGTTCCCGCCGCCTCTCAGCTTCGTCGCCGGCGCCATACCTAAACAACAGACAGAAGCAATCGCTACGCGCTCGCGATCGATGTGAACGCCGGCTCAGGCTCCGCGCCCCGCCCACTCGGCCAGCAAACCGGACTCACTGCGCCTGCGCCGGAGCGAGGCCGCGGCGGGGATGGCGCAGGTGCGCGGCGTCCTAGCTCCAGGTATGGCACCGTCTCCCGGAAGCCCCTCTCAAGAACCACTACCCCAGTGCTAGCTTCCCCTAGGTGGAACCTCTTCTGACCTTACCCCCCTTTTTTAAAAAATTGATTTTACTTTATGACGAGTTCCATGTTACCTAAAACTATAACTTTTAAACAACTTTAAACTTGTGATTTTAAAATATGTTAAGTCTGGGGGCGCCTGGCTGGCTCAATCAGTAGAGCATGAGACTCTTGATCTCGGGCTGTGAGTTCAAGTCCCACCTTGGGTGTAGAGCTTACTTTAAAAAAAAAAAAAAGGGGCGCCTGCGTGGCTCAGTCGTTAAGCGTCTGCCTTCGGCTCAGGTCATGGTCCCAGGGTCCTGGGATCGAGCCCCGCATCGGGCTCCCTGCTCGGCAGGAAGCCTGCTTCTCCCTCTCCCACTCCCCCTGCTTGTGTTCCCTCTCTGTCAAATAAATAAATAAATAATCGTAAAAAAAAAAAAAAAAGAGCGAGAAAGAGCACAAAATGTGTTGAGCCTGTTCCTAAATAGCATCTGTTTTGCATGACCTTTTACTACTGAATTTTTCAAAACTTAACAGGAGACAAATCTATGGAGGCAGAAATCAGTTACCTGGGGCTAGGTGTGGGAGCCAGGACTAAACACAGACATGAAAGAATTTGGGGAGGTGATAGAAATGTTCCGAAACTGGATTGTGGTGATGATTGCACAATTGTGTACATTTACTGAAAAGTCACTGAAGTATTACATACACTTCCAATGGACAAATTTTATGGTATGTAGATTATCCTCAATAAAGCTATTAAAAACAACAATATCTGAAATTCTTTTCTTTGATCCTCCAGTATAGTGTGGTAGCCCTTCCCTGCAGTGAGTACATCGGTGATAACTCAACACCCCCTCTTGTCTTTTCCATTTTCCAATACCTGGTTACCAATTTTCTTAAATTCTGTCAGGGGAAAATCTATACACTAAATGAATTATACGAAGCGCAACAGCACAGGGCTAACATTTATTGAGAACTAAGTGCCAAGTACTAGGCCAAGCACCCTACATACTTTATCCTGTATGCTCCTCACAAACACTATGATGGTAGTGGTTACAATGATAATTCTTATTTTAAGCTTGATGAGAAAAGAGGCACAGAGAAGTTTAGCAATCTTCTCCAAGTAACAATTTCAATGGTAGGGTAGAATGCCAATTCAGTTCTAATTTCCTAACCACAGTTGCAACCCCAGCCTGGAGTTTTATCTGTGTGGCATGGTCAGATCAAGAATTTCGGCCTGAGGGGTGCTCAGTTGGTCAAGCGTCTGACTCTTGGTTTTGGCTCAGGTCAAGATCTCAGGCTCTCCGCACTGGCTCTGAGCTCAGCATGGAGTCTGCCTGTTCCTTCCCCTCCCCCTCTACTCCTCTGCCACCCCCTCAAATAAATAAATAAATAAATAAAATCTTAAAAAAGAAAAAGCATTTCAGCCTGTGATGTAAAAGAGGGTCAGGAAAATGGGTGGGAGCCACAACTGTACTCATGCAGGTGCTTCCCCAGGCTTTGGATTATGTGCATGTTGGTGCCTCCATCCTACCTTAGCATTCTGTGCTGGGAACAGCAAGGGCGTCTAGAGGCCATCCTGACATTTCCTTGGCATGTCCCCTTAAGCTCCTCTTGGCTGTGACAGTTTCTCAGACTTGCCTTGTTTTTGACGACCTTGACAGTTTTGAGGAGTACTGGCCAGGTATTTTGTAGAATGTCCCTAAATTGGGATTTGTCTGATGTTTTTCTCATGCTTAGACTGGGGCTATAGGTTTTAGGGAGGAAGACCAGAGAGGTAAAATGTCATTCTCATCATATCATAGTGAGGGTACATACTATCAACATGAATTATTACTGTTGATGTTAACCTTGATCATCTGGCTGAGGCAGTGTTTGTCAGGTTTCTCTTCTGTAAAGTTCCTCTCCCCTTTTGCAGACGGTGCCTCTTGGAAGGAAGTCACCCCGCACCGCCTACACTTAAGGAGTGGGGAGTTATGCTCCACTTCCTTAAGAGCAGGGTATCTACATATATTGCTTATAATTCTTCTGCATGGGAGGGACACCTGGGTGGCTCAGTCAGTTAAAGCGTGTCTCACTCTGGGTTTCAACTCAGATCATGATCTCAGGGTTGAGATTGAGCCCTGTATCAAGCCCTAGGGGAGTCTTCTTCCCCTCTCCTTTTGCCCCTCCCCCCCCCACTCTCCCATTCTCTCTCTCTAAAATAAATAAATCTTAAAAAAATAATTCTTCTGTATGGGAGATTTGTCTCTTCTCCCTCATTTATTTATTGAATCATTTATTCATATTGGTATGGACTCCTATTCATAGTGGTATGGACTCACTTATTTTGTACTTTGCTTTATAATCCAATACCACTTTATTTTGTTGCTCAAATTGTTCCTACTTTGACGACATTGTCCCTTTGACATACTTCCATCACTGTGCTTTATAGAGCACATCCTTACTTTCTGGCACAAGATGCTCTACATCTAGAGTCAGCCAGTTCTCCAAGGAGCCCTGCTTCCTTTTATTGGGAAATGGTATTAGAAACCAAGACCTGGACACTAACTGTGCTTGTTGCAACTGTTACTGCTTCTAGGTTCTCTCAGCTGACAGGGAAGTAAATATTTGTATGAATACTAACTCCTCATATCCCCATATCTATGAATATTTATAATGTATGTATGCACTTGTATGTATGTATGTACCATGTATGTAATAACACATATATCTCCATTGGTAAGCTGAACGTGTGCATAATGATGGCTTACAACTCGAATGCATTACCACCTGGCCCCTGGATCTTTCCAGTTATCCCCCCACCCTTGCTTATCTGTAACCTTCCACTCCAAAACTGAAAAGCCTGGCTCCTACCGTATGCCATCCATTTATTTGATCGTCATTTCCAGTACACAGATAGTGTTTTCAGAATTGTTAACCCATATACCCGTGGGAAACACTTTATCAACTAGACTACACTACTTATGCACAAGTCTTTGACTTTTAGTCTTACAGACTTCACTCATTTCCAAAATTCCTTAGATCGGCACCCTTTTCCCCACCCCCTTCGAAGAGGTTATTGCATAGATGCTTTTGTCACAGTCTGTATTCTGTCTAGGATCCCCTGACCTCCTATAATGATCCTTTATAATTCATAGACATTAAGGCTCACTTCATAAAGTTCCATGAGTTTTGGCACATGCATAGTGCCATACATTATAGTATCACAGAGAATAGTTTCATCTCCCTACAAAGTCTCCTGTGCTTCATCTCTACTTGACCCCATACGTTGTTTGTTTTATTTTACAACATATCCTGGAGATCACTTCATAGCAGGATAGATCTATATTCCTCCTTCCTCTTTACAGCTGTGTATTAATCCATTGTGCAGATGTACCTTTGTTTCTTCAACCAGTCCTTGAATGATACACAGTTTGGCTCTTTCCAGTCTTTAGCTATCACTAATGGCCCTACAGTGAATTAGTAGGTACCATTTATGAGTACCTATTTTATGCTTTTCATATATTATCTTACTTGATCCTCACTACCATGCTGCCAGATATCTCCACTTACCTATGAGGAACCTGAGACTGTTGGGTTGCTCAAGGTCTCCTCACCATGAGTTTCTTGAGAGTTATGTCTTGTTTTCAGTTGTATTCCTGACATTTTTATTGATTGAATAAATGTAACTCAACTAGTAAATGGCAGTGCTGGGAACTGAAGCCAGGGTTGTGAGCTTGGACCTACCTAGCCCCAAAGGCTGTACTCATTACAGCCCAGCAGTGGTCTCTAAGTGGAATGGCCATACCCCAGGGAGTACACAAGATGACCCATTTGCTTGTGGGAAGAATATATTCGGATATCTACTTAGGTTTTTATCCAATCCTTCAAAAAAAAAGTCTACTTTTGTGGATATTTTATACTTACATAAAAGGACAACACAGAGGTTATACATAGACTTTATACAAATAAATATGCATATGCTGGGCTGTATCCTCAGCCCTTCTTTTGTTGCTAAGAGTGCATGGTCGAAACAGTTTGGAGATACTGACTTCTAAGATTTAGGGATTTTATTATCTCCATTTCCCCTGTTTATTCCCTTATAACAGTGAATCTCAACTGGGGGCAACCCCCCCCCAGGACATTTAGCAATATCTGGGAGCATTTTTTGTTGTCCTGACGGGCAGGGGTGCTACTGGCATCTAGTGATTAGAAGCCAGGGATGCTGCAAAACATCCTACAAATCACAGGACAGCCCCACAGCAATCGTCATCCAGTCCAAAATGCCAATAGTGGTAAGGTTGAGAAACCTTGCATTAAACCCATCTCCAGAGGGAAAAATGGAGGGGGATGAGAGAGCGGATGCAGAAAAGGAAGTAGGGTGTATCTGTATCTGTAGATCTGACACCTGTCTCATTACATATGCTCAATTAAACAGAATTGAAGGGGCGCCTGGGTGGCTCAGTCATTAAGCGGCTGCCTTTGGTTCAGGTCATGACCCCAGGGTCCTGGGATCCAGTCCCACATCGGGCTCCCTGCTCCGTGGGAAGGCTGCTTCTCCCTCTCCCACTCCCCCTGCTTGTGTTCCTGCTCTCGCTATCTCTCTCTGTCAAATAAATAAAATCTTAAAAAAAATAAAAAATAGAACAGAGCTAAGGAATGTTAGAAAGGGTTGACAGTGGAAAGGCTTGGGAAGTAGGAAAGGAAAACAAGAAGAGGAGGAGGAAGCACAGGGCAAGAGGAAGAAAGGGAAAGGGAGGAGAGATCTATGGAAAGGAAGTGGGGCAGACTGTTTTCCAAGATGATTATAAGATCTCCCATCCCACACACTCTTAAAACAGGATGCTGACACTCCTCCCATTGAGAGATGGCACCGACATTTCCTCCCCTTGAAATCTAGGTGGGCATGCGACACCAGAAGAAGTGATGTCATGCCATAAAAGATAATACAGCTTCCACCCAGGCTTTTTGGGAAGCTCTTGGAACACAGTCCCCACAAGGAAGTGGAGAGAACAAACACATGAAGAGAGCACATGTAGATCTGGCCAACAGCTCCAACTGAGGTCCCAACTGATACCCAACATCAACTGCCAGACATGGGAATGAAGGTGCCCCTAGATGATAGTGGCCCCCAAGAGTGAGTCACCCCTAGCCTTTGAGTCTTTCCAGCCGAGGCCCCAGGCCTCATGGAATAGTGATCCCTGAATTGTCACCCCTGTTGTGCTCCACCCGAGTTCCTGCCCCTGTGTTCCTGTGAGCATAAAAAAATGGTTGTGCTAAACCACTTAGTTTTGGGGTAGTTTGTTCTACAGCAATACAGAACTGGAACAGGAAAGGTGTGGGGGAGGGTGGTTGGACAGTCACGGGTTTCTCTGTTTCTGTATTAGGATAACATACAAACCCCAAGTTTCAGTGGTTGAGCGCAATAGAAGTTTATTTCTTACTCACATAATTGTCCAATGCAGTGTTCCTGCTTGGTGGACAGGCTTTCATTGAGTCATTCAGGAGCTCAGACTTCTTTCATCCTGGAGGGCTGGGAGTCCTCTCTTCCCCAGGGCTTGGAGTCTTCTGCATCTACAAAGCAAACCAGGGGAAGAAGGATCAAGAAGGCACACCTGCTTCTTAACTGTCTTGTCCCCAGTGTGACATACATTTCCCTCTGCTCACACTTGTGTGGAGAGAACTGGTCACATGACCCCACCTAGCTCCAGGAAAGGTCGGGAAATGTAATCCCTGGTTGAGCAGCCAGTTCCCAGAAACTACTCTATTCCATGGGAAGGGGACCATGAATTTTGGTGGACAGCTAGCTGTCTCTGGCAGACTTTAGAACCCAAGCTTATGAACTAAAATGATGATCATGACAAAGCTTTCTCTTCCTCTCTCCCATTTCCTTTCTTTTTATCTCCCTGGAATAGCGGCGGGGGGAAAGGATGGAGTACAAGTGATCACATTTTGCTCACTCTGTGGCTTTTGTGTAAGGTCAGCCCTTAATTCAGTGGGAAACTTAGAGGCTACTTAGTGGCATGGTGGTGAGGCATGTGGAGTTCGGATGAGTTCAAATCCTAGCTCTGCTACTTACCAGATGTGAGACCTTAGGCAGGTTACTTGACTTCTTCAAACCTCAGCTTCCCCATTTATAAGAGAAGGGTGATGATAAGGCTAACGCTCGACTTACAGGATTATTAGAAGGATTAATCTGGTGAATTCCTGTAAGACAGTTTTGCTTGGTACACAGTGAGTACGCAATCACCGCGAGCCACTATCGTGGAAGAATGGGGTGTCAGTGCTGCATAAGGTACTCCCAGCAGGTAGAAAGTCTCTCTCCCTGGGCCTTCTCTATGTTCTCTTGTCTAAAAGAGCGGAAACAAGATGTCTTCTCCTCTTTAAATTGGTTTATTATAAAGTTAGAAATCCCTTCAATCAGTTTTAGACTTCTGTTACCCATCTCCAAGCAAGATGGGTGTTTTAAAACGTCTAAAGCAAATAGTTCCCTCTGGGAGCAAGGGTTGATCCATTCTGGAGGCACAGCTCTGCCCACTGATTTGAAGCGTGGTTCCCCTCGGTGAGGTTCAATAAGGGTAAGGCAGAACTTTTTTTTTATGTTTTCAAAAGATTGAGCAAAGAAAGGGGTCTTGATGTAGCATCTCAAGCGAAGTTCTGTGTTTCTTCTTCGGTACTCTCTGATCCTGAGATCACAGGCCAACATTTCAGTAGACTGCTGCATTTAGTCATCTGTGTTCACTAGACTTGGAGGATTTCAGGGTGTCTGGGGGGAGGTGAGATCCCAGATGGAGTGATCCAGCCTTGGGGTGTGTGTGTCAGGAGTGGGGAGGTGGGGTTCTTGGCTCCACATTCTCACTCTTCCTTTTTTCTTACTCATTTATTCTACCATCTCTTCCCTGCCCACCCCCAGCTGTAAGACTCTATGCTGAAGGAATCAGGGAAAGATGCCTTTTATTTTTGAAAGGGAAATGTTTTAGAAAACCAGAAGTAAGTGAGGAGGGAAAAAGGGACCATCTGCTTTGGACAGCTTGTGTATTAAGTGCTATTTTGTGTAAACATGGCATTTTAAGTATACAATTGTTAAGATATTTCTGATACCTTTAATCAAGTTTATTATATTTTGGAAGTGTGTATAATGAGTCATCAAGTTTATTATATTCTGGAGGTACCTTAATCAGTAATTAAGGTGGGTGTTTCGGAGGTCCGTGAAAGTAGTTCTATAGGAAACTACCACATTCCTTTTTGGTTGGGGCTCCGGCTGTTTCTTTAAGCGTCCGCATCCTTTAACTTGCCAAGGATCAGTACCCACTTCAAATATTTATTACCCGTCTGATTTTATTGAGGGGGAGAGGGAGGGAGGAAAGGAGGAGGTAGGCAAGACAGAGGGAAAGAAGGCAGTGAGAATCAGGTATCAATAATTACTGCTTTGTTTTCTTCTCCTTACAGAGTTAGCTTCAGGCTGTTTATTTTGCAACTAATACATGGTATCAGGTGCCTAATATAAAATAGGCTTGGGGTGACTTACAATTGAATCCTATCACTCTGCGTTGGCTATTTTTGGACTACAAGAAAACTCAGAAATCCCTAATTCAATTCACCTTTGTCTAGGGTTGGGGAACGGGGAGAGGGAGTGGGAGTGTTTCTCACACGGAGAACCTTGAGTTCTATAATCCAAGGTTATAAGGCAATTCTCATCACATTTTTTTTACTTACAAATTTATTGCATTATCAGCTGTGATATTTATTATTCAGGACTTGTTGAAACATGCTCAAGTTTATTTCAGCTAGCAGCAGGCTTCTCTCTCCCATTTCAGTAGTCACATGCAGAGCTGTGTTTTTCAAATTCAAGTTAACACTCAGTAATGACTCTTGATCAGCATTTTTGAAAAATGAAATAAAAAATAGAACAGGTCATAGGCCATCACACATAGGAAGGGTACATACTGTTTGTGAAATGTTCATTATTTGTGTGTGTGTCTGTGTTTGTGTACTGGGCTCAACGTAAAATGTGTTTTTTACTGTAGGTTGTGGACGAAAACCTTTGGAGGATTTCTGGTGCTAGACAAGATGGCGTATGCCCACTGCAGTCTCTCTCTTCCACTTATGATGACTAAAAATGCTGGACAAAAAGAACTACCTGAGAACTCTGAAAAGTAAACAAGCAGGCAAATTAGGGAGGGAGTCAAAGCTTGAAGACACTATCCGTAGGGGGTGAGTTTCTCAAAATTTTTCCATCTTTTCTCTCACAGCTTTGACCTGAGAGCCTCAAGGTCCCAGGTAAGGGGCCTCCCAGCAGCAGAGGCAGCAAAAACTGAGAGAAACTTAAAAGAAAACAGCTCTCGTTTCTTCTACTCTACTCAGCAACACTTCTGACACCAAATGTGTGGGGCTTTTTCCCACATCAAACAATTCTCCAGCTCTCTAGATGCCAACCAGTCCAACTGGCGTCCAATTGGACCAATTCTGACACCACCTGGAACTAGCACAGAACCCACAAGTTAAGGGCTCAGTCCCCAAAGACTGCCCCTACTTCAGACGTCAGTCATATGCCCCAGGTTGTCACTGGGATACTGACCAACTGGCTATAAATTGGGGGGTTCCCTTAACCCCTTCCTCGGGTTTGATAATTTGCCACAGCGGCTCACAGAACTCAGAGAAACACTTACTTATATTTACTGGTCTATCATAGAGGAACATCCAGATGAAGTACATAAGGTGAAGTCTGGAAGGGTCCTGAGTGCAGGTGCTTCTGTCCCTGTGGAAGTTGAGGTGCATTACTCTTCCTGGTGCATGGATGTGTTCACCAGCCCAGAGGCTCTGTGAACCTCTTTGGTAAGGGTTTCTTTTTTTTTTTAAGATTTTATTTATTTGAGAGAGAGCATGAGCAGGGGGAGGGGAAGAGGAAGAGGGAGAAGCAGACTCCCCACTGAACAGGGAGCCCGACCGGAACTTGCTATCAGGACCCTGGGATTGTGACCTGACCGCCTGACAAAAAGCAGACGCTTAGACTGACTGAGCCACCCAGGCGCCCCTCTTTGGTAAGGCTTTTTAAGGGAGGTTTCATCACATACCATATACCATAATCATTAACTCAATCTCCAGCTCCTCTCCCCTGTCCCAGAGGATGGGGATGGGGCTGAAAGTTCCAAGCTGACAATGATGGCTTGGTCTTTCTGGTGACCAGCCCCCCATCCTGAAGCTATCCCGGAGATCACCATGAGTCACCTCAAAAGACGAGGTGAACAAAAGATGCTCCTATCACTCAGGAAATTCCAAGAATTTTAGGAGCTGTGTGTCAGGGACTGGAGGCAGAGACCAAATATGTATTTCTTATGTCACAAACTACATCTCTCTGACCAGAGGACTTGGGAAAAGTGTCCCTGCGAGCTGGGGCGGGGGTGGGGGGGCTAGGGGGGCGGAGCTTACAATTAATTCTTTTTCTCTCTCTCCCAGACCTGCCCCAAGGGCAGGACTCAATTGTGTAGCAGTCAGCACTAGTATGGCCAGCAGCAATTTCCAGAGAAACACTGTCATTCTGGCTAACTGACTAGGAAACAGAGCGCCGGTAAGCCAGAGTATAGGGGGAATCCTGGAAAGAAGCCATCTGGAGAAGGGGAGCCCAGTTCTGTGTATGAACTGGCACAAGTTTTGCATGGTCAAAACTAACCCAGCACAGCAAAGCCTCTGAAAAGCTGAAATGACCTTGGAACAATGGCCCACAGATGAGAGAAAAGTTGCAGCTTGGAACCTAACTGGGTAGATTGCCTACTAAACTGAAACAAAACAAAATGAAGTCAGTGTTTTCTAGAGCAGAGATTAGATAATTTTTTCCATAAAAGGCCAGACGGTAAATATTTTGGGCTCTGTGGGTCGTACAGCCTATCATGACTACTCAACTCTGCCATTGTGGTGTCAAAGCAAAGACAAGGTGTGAATGAATCAATATTGTGTTTCAGTGAAACTTTATTCACAAAAAGAGGAAGAGGGTTGGATTTGGCCCACAAGCCATCGTCTGCTAACTCTTGCTCTAGAGGCTTTTAAGAAGACTGAGATTCTCACAGGTAATATTCAAAATGTCTAGGATATAATCTAAAATGACTCAACACCCAAAGACTTAGAAAAAGGTGATCCGGGCGCCTGGGTGGCTCAGTTGGTTAAGCAACTGCCTTCGGCTCAGGTCATGATCCTGGAGTCCCGGGATCGAGTCCTGCATCGGGCTCCCTGCTCGGCGGGGAGTCTGCTTCTCCCCCTGACCCTCCCCACTCTCATGCTCTATCTCATTCTCTCTCTCAAATAAATAAGTAAAATCTTTAAAAAAAAAAAAAAAAGAAAGAAAAAGGTGATCCATTTTTAGAGGAAGGACATGAAAGATGCCAACCCCAAGATGACCCAGATGTTGGAATTGCCAGACAAAAATGTAAAACAGGTATTACAATTATGCTCCATGAGGTGAAAGTAAACACACTTTAAATGAAGGAAAATAATAGAAATTCTCAGTAGAGAAACAGAAACTATAAAAAGAATCAAATGGAAATGTTAGAACCCGAAACCACAATATCTGAAATAAAAATTCACTGTGTGGGCTTAATAGTAGAATGGAGATGACAGAAAAGGAGTCAATGAACTTAATGAGAGATGAAGAGAAAGTCCCTAATCTGAAGAACAGAAAGGAAAAAGAATGAATAAATAAAACACAATTTGAGGAACTATGAGTCCAACATTCATATCATTAGAGTCCCAAGGGAGGAGTGAGATTGGTGCAGAGAAATACATATATATTTGAAGAAATAATAGCTGAGAGCTTCTCAAATTTGGGGAAAGACATAAAATTACAGATTCAAGAAACTCAAACCCCTAGGGTGCCTGGGTGGCTCAGTCAGTTAAACGTCTGCCTCCGGCTCAGGTCATGATCCTGGAGTCCCGCATCAGAGTCCTTGCTCAGTGGGGAGCCTGCTTCTCCCTCTGCCCTCTGCCTGCCACTCCCCCTGCTTGTGTGCTCGCACTCTCTCTGTCAAATAAATAAATAAAATCTTAAAAAAAAAGAAGAAACTCAAACCCCAAACAAGATAAATGCAACAAAACAAAAAAACCCTCCAACTCCAAAAACAAAAACAAAACCCACACTCAGATACACAATCAAACTTCTAAAACCCAAAGAAAAAGAAAACAATCTTTAAAGCAGCCTGAGAAAAACCATGGTGGTTTCTCAGAATATCAAAAATAGAATTACCAGATGGCCCAGCAATTCTGCTTATGGGTATATACCCAAAAGAATTGAAAGCAAGGTCTCTAAGTGATATTTATTTATTTGATGTATTTATTTTAGAGAGAGAGAGAGCGAGCGAGCACAGGCAAGTGGGGGGAGAGGCAGAGGAAGAGAAACAGACTCCCTGCTGAGCACAAAGCCTGATGTAGGGTTCAATCCCAGGACCCTGAGATCATGAACTGAGCTGCCCAGGTGCCCCTCTAAGTGATGTTTATATACCCGTGTTCATAACAGCAGTATTCTCAAAAGCCAAAAAATGGAACTCATCTGACCATCAACAGATGGATGGAAACAAAATATGGGGTGCGCATGCGCATGTGTGCACACGACGTAGTATTACTCAGCCTTAAAAAAATGGAAGGAAATTCTGGTATATGCTACGACATGGATGAACCTTGAGGACATTATGCTAAGTGAAATAAGCCAGTCCAAATGGCAAATACTGTATTGTTCCACTTATTTAAGTTACCTAGAATAGTCAAATTTCTAGAGACAGAAAGTAGAATGGTGGTTGCCAGGGGCCATATGGAGGAGGAAATGGGGAGCTGTTATTTCATGGGTACAGTTCCAGTTTTGCAAGATGAGATGAGTTCTGGAGATGGATGGTTGTGATGGTTGCACGACAACGGGAATGCACTTACCACTACTGAACTGTGCACCTCAAAGTGATTAAGATGGCAAACTTTATGTTATGTACATCTTGCCACAGTTTTTTAAAAAGCAGTCTGAGAAAAATAATATAGAACAATGGGGCGCCTGGATGGCTCGGTCGGTGAAGCGTCTGCCTTTGGCTCAGGTCATGATCTCAGGGTCCTGGGATCGAGCCCCACGTCGGGCTCCCTGCTCAGCAGGAGCCTGCTTCTCCCTCTGCCTCTCACCTCGCTCTCATGCTCTCTCACTCTTTCTCTCTCAATTAAAGTCTTAAAAAAGTAAAAAAATGTATAGAACAATGATTTCAAGGACTGTGGAGTGCTCATCAGAAACTGTGGAAGAGAGCAGAACAACAGCTTTAAAGTGCCAAAAGAAAATAACTATATCTAGAGAAAATATATTTGGGACTGAAGGCAAAACAAAGACCATTCTCAGATGAAGGAACACTAAGAGAACTGCTCAAGAGTTTTTCAGGCAGAAGGGAAATCAGTTTCAGAGGGGAAGCTGGAGCTTCAGGGATGAAGGAGAAACATACATGGTAAATGTCTCTGAAGTTCTTTAAAATACATGTAACTGTCAAAGCACCTGGGTGGCTCAGTCGTAGGGCGTCTGCCTTTGGCTCGGGTCATGATGCCAGGGTCCCGGGATCTTCAGTGGGAGGCCTGCTTCTCCCTCTCCCACTCCCCCTGCTTGGGTTCCCTCTCTTGCTATGTCTCTCTCTGTCAAATAAATAAATAAAAATAAATAAATAAAATACACGTAACTGTCGAGAGCAACACTCGTTGATCTTGAGCCAGGCATATGGCTGCCTGGACCAGACTAATCCTCCAACCTCCCTTGCAACTAGGTGTGACCTACCAAGGGACTAAGTTCTGGTGAGTTGTATGTAAAAGGAGGTATTATGGGGCAGCTTTCTGGAACATTCCTTAAAACACTGCTGACACATTTCCTTCATTCTTTTTTCTTGGTCCCTTCTGTCCCATCCTGTTGCTTGGAAGAGGACGCTGTGGCCGGAGGGCCAGCTGCCATCCCCCCATGAAGACCCAGAGGAGTCAGGTTCCTAAAGATTTTGTGAATCAGACCCATCATACTAGCCCTGGGAGGCCTACTTTTGGATTTTCATGGGAGGGAGAAGTAAATTTCCTTGGTTTTCTTTTCTTTTTTTAAGATTTTATTTATTTGAGAGAGCGAGAGAGAGAAGCAGACTCCCCACTGAGCACTGAGCCCCATATAGGGCTCGATCCTGGGACACTGAGATCACGACATGGGCTGAATTCAGATGCTTCACCAACTGAGCCACCCCCCCGGCGCCCGGTAAATTCCCCTGTTGTGTAAGCCACAGTTATTTTTTGGCTCATGCAGCATGTTGCTGAATTTAATCCTAATCTAGCTCCTAATTACTGAAACCAAGCAACACTCTCAAATGAATCCTAGGAAGAAGTTCTGGGTGAAGAAACCACTCAAGTGTTTATCACAGGGCTTGCCCGGCACATGGTGAGGTGCTCTATAAATGTCTGGGGTTAGGCACCGTGTTCCTCATTTCTGTATTTCCCACAGGATCCATCACACAGTAGGGGCTCCATCCTCTGAGACTGCCTGCTGATTTTCTGTTGATGCCCCGCTTGCCCTACAGAAGATGTGTCCCCCATACTTACTAATACCAGCAAGAAAAAGCCGAGAAAGGGGCATGCGTTAGGTTCCAGGTTACACAAATCCATGGGAGAAAAATCAGCACTGGAGGAGGAAATACACTATTTATTTACAACTCTTTCACTTTATCCACAATTTCCATACAAACATAAAAACTAAAAAAATAAAACCACCACTTGGGAACACAAGTGTCTTTCTTTAATTAGTCCGGTTGAGGGGAGGGTCACAGCCCTCTCGCTCTGTGAAGGAGACTACTGAGGCACACTGAAGGGGAAGAGGAGGGGGTTAGGAAGAATGCCTGAGAAACAGCTCCAGATGAGAAATGGAACGGCGCGGCGGAGCTTCGCCAGCAGAAACTCAAGGGCGTCACCCACCGGGGACACTGACCGGCTTCCCGGGAGAAGGGCAGCTGCTCGCCACCATCCCCCCGCCCCTCCGCTATGGAACCCCCCAAATCCAGCATGTCACCCATCTCATGAGCTGTGTGGGGTATGGTGGTGACAGTGGGGGACACTGGATACCTCTGAGAAGAGCGCCAAATCCCAGGGAGACACAGAAAACCCCTTTCCTTGGCACTGATGAGCCAGTCACAGCTTCTGGCTTGAATACGATGCTGACTTAAACGGAAAAACAAAAGCTCTCCCCCAGCCTCCTGGGGAAAGGGAGGGGCTGAAAACATGCAGGAGGGCTTCTGCCTCTGGGGGTGAGAGGTGGGGGGCTCTGTCTGCCCACCACGGGGAAGGAGTGGGGCAGATGCTCCACAAAGAGCCCGGGCGGGGTGGGGAGGGGCGGGGAGGGAAGAGAGAAGAACTCGGAGACACTGATGCTGGGACAGCTGCCACCAGTTGTCAAAGCAGGTCCATTTGCTCGGCGACACTCACTCTGGCAGACTCCCATCCTCCCCCTCACAGGAGGGCGCCCAGAAGCCAACCTGGAGATGCCAGACCCCCTGCCTGGCAACTTCATCTGAGCTAGTGACCGAGATTGCTTGCACACGTTGATGCACATTATAAATATAAAATCATATCTGCTACAAAGAGGACATATATTTGTACATCTTTACCCATATACATAATAACACAATTTACACATAATATCTTGGAGTGGGTCATCATGGGAAAAGGGGTTGGAGAGGTATAAAGCCCCTTCTCCCTCCCCTGCCCTGATCCTTCTCAAGGGACGCCTGTATACTTGGGTCACCGGGGCCCTTCCCAGCTGGTGGTGACGGGGCTAGTCTGGACACATAAATTCAGACACATAACTAAATGCTGACGGGTGTGTATACCCACACACACACACACACAAACGCGGGCGCACATACAGACATTGGGTGAGAAAAGGAAAAATAAAATTCCTAGCCCTTGGGTGTAGGCCTCTTCCCAGAGTTATAAGCATCAGTACCTCCTCCATCTGAGAACAACAGTCTCCAGCTGCCCCTCACTGGCTCAGACCAGGGCAGAAGGGGAAGGGCTAGGAACTGGGGGGAGGAAGGGCCAGGAGTCTTCTGAAAACATAAGGCGTTTTTTGACCTGTGATCAAATCAAACTATGTCACAAAAAGCAACGGCATCAGTTGGGGCCGGGAGGTGAGAGACAGTCAGTCCATGTAGGGACAATGTGAGTTGAGACCCTGAGCCTTCCCCTTCTTTTGTCCAGTTTCTTTGAAAGGGGCAGACAACCCTGTACCTCCTTTCCTGTCCTCTCCCAGAGCCGGGCCCATCCACATGTCATGGAATACTGATAGTGGTCCGAGAAACACATCCGGAGACATGGAGTGGTGGACAGGCACGCCAAAGAGTTAAGACCTGGGCGGCGGATGTGAGCTTTTTACAGCAGGAGTGGTTCCTGGCCGGAGTCCACGGCTCGCACAGTGGCCACAGTGATCAGATTGCCATCAGAGATGGGGACAGTCTGGGTCCCCCTGGGAAGACAGCACCTATCGACGGTAGTGATTAGGGGCATCGGCAAACATGTACTTCAGTCTGTACGCCTCGGCAAGAAGCAGCCCGATCTCTTCGTTGCCCCAGTGTATCGTAGGTAGGTTTTGTAGCAGCATCAGGAGACCCTGGAATGCAAGAAAAGAAATTTTATCATCCCTGGACTACAGACCAAGGGACGAGCAGGGCCTGGAAGGGGGTCCCTTCGTCCTGGATCACACATCCCGTAGGGTCGGGCTCCCTCCTCCCAAGCAGCACTCAGCCCCCAGCTCCCAGTTCACCTTCAGGAAGCCTTGAAAAGCCTCTGTTGATTCTCTCATATCCACTAACACCTGCCTCTTTTAAAAGTATTATAAACAGAAAATGACACCAACAAATAAAGACATTGGAAAAGAGAAAAATAATCACTCATCATCCAAATATACCTCTCTTTATTTCCAAGTTTTCCTTTTCAGTCTTTTCACATGTGTATTTCTTTAAATAGCTGTAATCATTATGATTTTTATATGCTTTTTAATCATCCTCTTTTACTATAATTGTAGTGTTTTTCCACGCAGCCTTCAAAAATGACTCTTCTCAGTGTTAGTATTCCATCATGTGGCTATACCCTAATTTACTCAACCATTTGCCTTTTGTTAGACACTTAATTTGCTTCCTTTAAGAAAAAAAAAAAACCTTTATTAAAAAAAATCCCTTTCTTCATATTCATAAATGAATATCCTTTTCCATTTGCTGTATGTCTCCTAATGCCAGTGTTCACTTCTAATCACCGTATTTAGCCTCTGCCCTGTTCTCCAAAGACCATTCTCAACCTACCTGTCCAGCTTATTTCCTATGTTCCCAATGCACATGTCTCTCCAGCTAGGTCCATTTCAGCCAGATTTATTTGTGCCTCTGGGGTTTAATTTATGTTGTTCCTTTAACTTGGGAGACCTTCTCTTTTCTCCTCTACCTATCTCAGTCCTATTCAGTTCTCAAAACCCAGGTCCCTCAAACAGCTCCAGAGAGACAGTCTATATTAAAGAGGATATTAGAATAAAAAGAGAATGAGAGGTTGTCTCTGTAATTTAGTTCCCCATGCTGTTGCTGCTGCTTCGTGTTTTTATCTCTTCCTCTCCCCTCTTTTTTTAAGTCTACTTACTTATATTTATTTTTAAGTAATCTCTACCCCTGGGGGTGCGTGGGTGGCTCAGTCGGTTAAGTGTCTGCCTTCGACTCAGGTTGTGATCCCAGGGTCCTGGGATTGAGTCCCACCATTGGGCCCCCTGCTCAGCAGGGAGCCTGCTTCTTCCTCTCCCTCTGTCCTCCACTCATGCTTGCTCTCTCTCTCTAGTGCTCTTTCTCAAATAAATAAAAAATCTCTAATAAAAAAAAAAGTAACCTCTACACCCAACATGGGGCTTGAACCCATAACCCTGAGATCAAGAGCCACACGCTCTACCGACCAAGCCAGCCAGGTGCCCCGTCTCTCTTCCTGAACTGGATATTCTTATTTTTCTGATTATAAAAATTATAATAGCAAGACAAAACCCAGGGACATAAGGAGACAGGCAGACTTTATTACATATAACTTCAATATGTCAAAAGGTGCCAAAAACCTGGTTAAAATCTAAGAAACTGACTATAAGAAAATATTTTGTAACACCTTCAAAAGACCAAATTCATAATCAAAATACTATCCATACTCCAATACTATCCATAATCAAAAAGGAGCACCTACTAATCAGTAAGAGATAAAGAAAACCACCAGAGAGAAAAACAGGTAATACGAATAGGTAATGTGCAGAAGGCCCATGGCCCACCCCCATGCTGGGAGGACTTTCAAAAAGCCTGCTTTGAGCTGGACACTCCAGCAGTGTTTTGTAGTTTTCATTGGAAAGGTCTTGCAAAGCTGTTATGAGATTTCTTCCTCTAGAAACAGACACTTAGCTGTGCACACACAGCTGCCTGGGGCACATCACTGCTAAGGACGGCCAATAGGATTAAGATCCCAATTCTGGGACAGTGTAAGTTCCGGCTTCTGCCCTAGACCTCTCCTTCCCCACTTCGCAGAAAGTGCATATGGATGGAGGAGTGGACGCAGCCATCTCAGACCGTAAGATGAAAGCCATGTGTTGGAGACGGCAGAGCAAGACAGAAGAGAGCCGCATCCCTGCCACTCTGGAGGCGGAATGTTAGCCCTGGACTGCTTACACTTAGACTAGGAATTAAACAACAAGTAAACAACTATCTTGCTTTGAGCCACTGCTGTTCTAGGGTCTTGGTTACAGGAGACAAGTTTATGTCATCTTAACACACACAGGCTGTAACTATCAAAGTCAGAAATGCGCATGGTCTTTGATCCAGCAACTCTACCCCCGTGTCCCTGTCCTAAGGGAATATCCACAGTCCTGCGCAAAGGTTTTCGCCACATGCACCACGGCTTCAAATAGAGGGGAATCGTTAGACAAACCGCGGTTATCCCACATCATGAAATGCACGGAAGCACAGAGAACAAATGAAGTAGGACTACACGCACCGCGGTGGAAAGATAAGATATTTTTAGGAGTAAGAAAGAAAAGCATTGTAGAAAAAGACTTATAGTATGATCCCACTTAGGTAAACGAGAAAACACAATATATTTGTATATGTATATGCACATATGTATATAAAAAATTAAGAAGTTGAGGAGGTAAACTGTTAACAGTAGTTACCTTCGGGGATGAGAGATTTTCACTTTTTTCCCATTATACTTCTGTATCATTTGAGCTCCGTGTTTTCAATTTTTACAATAAAGTGTTGTTGTTGTTGTTTTAAGATTTTACTTATTTATTTGAGAGAGAGAGACACAGCAAGAGCAGGAACACAAGCAGGAGGAGTGGGAGAGGGAGAAGCAGGCTTCCCGCGGAGCAGGGAGCCCAATGCGGGGCTCGATCCCAGGACCGTGGGATCATGACCTGAGCCGAAGGGAGACGCTTAACGACTGAGCCACCCAGGCACCTCAGTGGCTTTTTATTTTTTATTTTTTTAAGACTTATTCATTCATTCCAGATAGAGAATGAGCACATGGGAGGTGGGGGGCAGAGGGAGAGAATCCCAAGCAGATTCCCCGCTGAGTGCAGAGACAAGGGGAAGGGACTCTATCTTAGGACCCTGAGATCACGAGCCAAAACCAAGAGCTGGATGCTCAACCAACTGGGCCACCCAGGTGCTCCAACAATAAAGATTTTATATATTACTTGTGTGGTGGAACTTTTTCTCCATAGTAATACACATTCTGTGGTAGTTTTGTTTAGTAAAAAGTAAAAAAGCAGAAAATAAATTACCTATAACTTCATAATCAAGAAGAAGTCACTTTTAAACATTTTTCGCATATTTCCTTCCACTCCCTTTTCTGCATTTTCCATAGTTGAAACGATTTCTCTATATAATTTTGAATCTGTTTAGCATTTATCATAAGCATTTCCTCTAATAATAAAAACTCCTCGTAGATACTTTCATGGCCAAAAAATTTCTCATGATACAGACGTACCATAATTTACTCTACATCTTCCTGTTTTAATTATTTCTGTTTTTTCATTATAATGAAATTATAATGAACAGCCTTGTGCATAGAGCCATATATTTTTTTTTAAGTTTTTTTTTTTTTTTTTTAATTTATTTGACAGAGAGAGACACAGCGAGAGAGGGAACACAAGCAGGGGGACTGTGAAAGGGAGAAGCAGGCTTCCTGCGGAGCAGAGAGCCCGATGCGGGGCTCGATCCCAGGACCCTGAGATCATGACCTGAGCTGAAGGCAGACGCTTAACGACTGAGCCACCCAGGCGCCCCTGCATAGAGCCATATTTTAGATGACTTCCTTGGGCTGAATTCCTAGGAATGAAATTACTGTGTCAAAGAACATGAACATTTTAAAGGTCCTTAACACTCATTCAGAAAATGCATTCCAGAAAAATGCTCATTTCCCTAGATCTCCACCAGCACTGAATATTCTTATCAGACAAATTTTGTTAATTGTAAACCTTTTCCCTGAGATCTCCAGGCCTGAGAACAGAACTCAAAAGCCTTAAGTCAAAATGGTGGTGAACTCCCAGGAAGAACACAATGAGAATCACGTTGTATGCTTTCCCCAAACCCTGTAGGTAACCACCCCTTACCATCCCATCATTGTCACTGAAATTCATTCAACCAGACCCATTACTCAACCAGTTACTGATACTCACTCAACCCACCCAGATGCTAACTTTGCTTTTGAAAGCCCCGTTAGCTGATCTAAACATCTCTGGAGTGCTCTTTTCTCATGGTTAACAATTTTCCATGGGTTTCTTGGCCTCTGTTCTATGTATACCTTGTTTTTTTGTTTTTGTTTTTAATCTCAACTTAAAAAAAAAAAAATGTTGCCCTTGGAATACAATACCCTCCCCCATGAACTCCTGGCCTCTGGCCCCTCTGATTCTTCCCTCCTGCTTCCTATCCCTTCCCCCCAAGTGTCTCCATCCCCACTGGAACTGGAAATGGTACCCCATCTTTTTGCCAGCATCCTCCCCAGGGAGTCAACTTTTATTCTAATTCTGGCAGACTCTCTACGACAGAGGTCCTCACTTTTTCTGTACCTCAGACTCTTTGGCTACCTGGAGAAGCCTATGGATCCCTTCTCAGAATGATGGTTTTAAATACATAAAATACATACTGTCACAAAGGAGAGCAATTGAATTGAAACAGTCATCAAAATATTTGTAAACAAATTTATGATACCACCATAGATGTCCTTTATTAATATATTCTAGAACACCATCTAATGGCAGATTAAAGAACTACCATTATTTCAAAGTAGTAATGAATACAAACACCGTTTTGAGACATCTCTAACAACTTCATAGGATATGAAAACTTTAGTAATAAGTGACAAAGGAAGGTACTGCAAATATTACTGTGCTTTCTTGGCTATATCACTATTGTAGGAATTGCTAAGTTTGAGTTTGGGGTTATTGAAAATAAAACTGAAATTATGTTTCCATTCATTTCTAGGGATCCCTTGACTTATAAATGTAAGCCCTAAGTTAAAGTCCCTTGCTCCTATAGCTTGCCCTTCTCTTGACTGACACCACAGCCAACAAGAATTCTTATACTTCCGGGGCACCTGGGTGAC